TTAACCAATAAAATTTTATGATATCACGGGATGATCTACAAAAATTGGCCAATCGGAATGAAAGCCCGCTATGCTGTTTCAGTGTAGTCAGTATGTGACATGATCGCATTTTGATGTGTCAAATCCATTAAGGATGTTTGAATGGCCTTCTTAACGGTCGGTTAGATATATTTAGTATTTGCTCGGTCAAGTTTGATATAAAATCGAATAAAATCATCACCATATTTTTTCGTAGACACCTTCTGCATTAATGGTACTGATAGAGGAAAACCAAATAATCTCTGCATATTTTCACATGCTAATTTGGTATGAATAAGCTCTTCATTATATGCCTTTTTAGCAAAGAACGAAGTTTATGTTTATTTTTATAAATTAAAAAACAACTTGGGATTCTCTTTTTGCCATTATATTTTCGAGTTAATTGCTGAGTTTCGTGGTAAGCCATAAATTGACGTTTTAGAAAGGCCTGTAGTTGTCTGTGAAGCTAAAAAATTTAGAGAAAGGTAAAATATCAAGGCATTCAATATGTTTTTAGCAAAACATATTTGAATCGATATATCACGGAGAATTTGTGAAATCAAGCTAAACTAGCTTTTAGCTCGTGCCTCCTACACAGAATAAAAATGGAAAATAAATGTGTTATTGCGAGACTCGTTAAAATTCTACGAATGTGTAAAACTTACGTTAGAGGTGGTTACATTATTGATTCACATCACTAGTCGGAGCTGATTAAAATCCGAAAGTTAGTCCGTATTAGCGTTAGGTTAGCATTAGCCATAGATCTGCATTAAAAAGGCAAATTTAAAAAGTTTCGTTTTGTATCCACACTGATAATAAAAATCAACACAGTTTTATCATGTCTTAAATCTTTTTTTTAATTCTCTGTACATAATTAGATGACAGGATTTCTATATTCATAATTATCAAAATCGGGTTCGGATTTGTTCTAGTAGTCGTTTACACACGCAAAATGATATCTAATAGGATATCAATAGATACCCTATTACTACCAGATTTTGATGTCAAAATCTGGCAGCAATAGTGATGTCTATTGGTATTCTATTAGATATCATTTTACATCTGCTACTATAACACCTGACTATGAACCTTAGATAAATTATAAATGAGTGCGTGAGAGTGAAAACCTGTAACGAATAATAGTAAATCATTAAATCTATTTCCAGGTTTTCACTCTCACGCATACAAATTATAAGAAAAAATGGGTGTCGACAAGCGAAAACCTGCAATTTCGGTTTTTGCCGGCTCCGCCTTCTGATCCGACTCCTGATAAATTTAAATTAAGCACAACATAAATAATATTGTGTTTTTCGGGGTTTGATCTGTAAAATTAATTTCGGAAAACTCACAAATTCCCTGTTTTCGCTTGTCGACACCCAAATATATACTGTAGCTATAACAACCTAGCAGTTAAGCCGTTTAGGGTTTGATTACATGTGTTCTTATTGATCGTACGTACTGAGTAAGCTGTCATGTAACAGCCTGTTACAAATAGATTTGTCCAAATTATGAAATTGCAAACATTTCGAATAGAGCTACATTTTTATTTGTGCTTATTGAAAACCACTAATTGATAAATTTTTTATTTAATTTCACGATACCCCATATTGCCTAAACTATAATACAATGTATATCAAATTAAACATAATTTAAAATAAAACCTTATAAAAAGCTGTGAGAGCTGATAATAGCCCTGGATAATAATAACCAAAACTTGAATAACAAAGTAAAAAAAAAAACTTTAGAATATCTAATTATCTTTCACTCCATTTTTTGCCCAAGTAGGCGCCAGTGAAAATACATTCATCACCACTTAAACATTTTGCACACAAATGACTTTTATGTTTGCTACTTTCCCCTTTGTCTAAAGGTTTATATGATAAGATAACGTTCTTATCACTTTTGCACCTTTTACATTTTTGCATAGCATATTCACCAAAATTCAAATCTTGATCTTGTTGAATGAACTTTTGTAGTGATATCCAAGTATAGGCGCTTCCCAAGGCTTTTTAATTTTTTTGCAGTTCGGACATTCCCATATACCATACACCCGGTAATATTCTCTCCATTGTAAATGACAGATGACTTCAATAATAGGTACTTCATTTAGATTTATTGGTTGCGAATCTGAATACATACGGAAACTCGTGATAGAAAGTTTTCTATTACAGTAATGACTCTCGCATGGTTTTTCAAAATAATTATACAGTTGTTCTGGTGTCATCCTTGAGCAATCTTTAAGAGATTTTGAACTGTAAAATTTTATACTGTAAGGTTCTAGACTGCGATATTCTTGAACGTAATATCCTTGTTCATGTTTAACCTTTTTTTCCTCGCATACACTGCATTCCCAATAACCATATACTTTGTATTTATTGTACCGGTTTAAATTTTGAATGATACGGGAAATTTGTTCTCCTCGTTTATGTTTATGACGATCTCGAATATTATATAAGGATGGTATTGTTGTTTTCGATTCTGTCAGAAGTACATTTCCTGAAGTTAACGATGTTGTCTTCTTGGATTGAACAATAGTAGTAAATGATTGAGTAAAAGAAGTAGTATTTTCCTTTTTTTCAACAGCTGTTGTTTTTAATGTATGAGGAAGAGAAGGAAAATCTTCACGCTTCATTGAAGTTGACATCTTTTTCTGTTGAGGAAGAAATCCCACGGAAGAGGATTGAGATGATTGAAAATGTTTGGATCCAGAAGTCTTATTCTTTTCAGGTTTAGCATTTTGCATTGCATCTCCCAGTGTGTATCTGTGACGAGGATAATAAATTTCATCATCATCATCCTCGCATTCATCATCATATTCATCTTCATACTCATTTTCATATTCATATTCGTACGCATTTTCATATTCGTACGCATTTTCATATTCATACGCATTTTCATATTGGTAAGCATTTTCATATTCATACTCATTTTCATATTCGTCTTCGTACTCATTTTCGTATTCATTTTCGTATTCATCTACATACTTGAATGCCATCGACTGTGTAAAGTATATATTTTGATTCGTGTGGTTTCGGATTTCAGGTAGAGCTGCTGCCATTTCTTTCTCCCAAGATAGTTTCGTATTTCGGGTGTTTTCTGCCTGTACATCTTTTTTCACATAGTCAAGTGTGGGCTTCCCGTAAACATCAGCATCTAATCGTTGCGCTTGAGGTGGTGAAACTTTTTTCTCTGCATCATAACTATTTGAATTTGTTTGTCCCATTTTGATTATGATGATGCTTTTGATTTTCAAAAAAAAAGCAAAATGCGGAAGAAGATTAATACATAATCAGATTAGTTATTACACCATTAAGTATATTTAAATTCATTTTTGTTATTTATGTTATTTATGTTGTATACTGTAACTCCAAACCTATATATGGACACAATGTTAACAAGTGTTATAGCGAATCGTAACCACAAAACCTTAAAAAAATTATTGAGGAACGTGCACGAATGTACTACGATCATAGGCAAGAAAAACGTTGTAATGGGTTAGTTTAAATAAGATAGAATGGCTTAGGTTCAATGACAGTAAAATGATAAAAAAAATTTTTATTCTTTTTTTTTCTCTGTAATTTGTTATAAATACGAAGTCTAATTTCTGTTGTCAGAATGTAATTAGTAGTAAATGATTGAGTAAAAGAAGTAGTATTTTCCTTTTTTTCAACAGCTGTTGTTTTTAATGTATGAGGAAGA